GCGCGGGTTAACCTGATGTTCACCATAAAAGAACGGTATGATGCATAACCAGTATAACGCCTTTTAGGGCGACTAACGGAGCGAGCGAGAGGGTGGGCCTTGCACGTGCGAAATTGCGAGGGGGTACCTCCAACTGACTTGTGCACGGCACCGTACTAACCGGTCTCTAGCGATGTGCCAAATTTGAGCACAATCGGCCCAGCCGTTCTCGAGATCTGGAAGCGGCACTCTGCACGTGCGCACGTGCAAAATGGGTCCCAACTGACTTGTGCACGGCACCCTACAAACTGCTCCGTAACCGTGTACCAAATTTGAGCGCAATCGCTCCAGCCGTTCTCGAGATCTGGAATCGACCCCTGCACGTGCGCACGTGCAGCAGCACCCCAACTCTGGCACATGGATATGTATTGCCTAGTGGGTGCCTACCTACATGCCAACTTTCAGCGCAATCGGCCCAGTAGTTACCGAGATATTGCAACTATTACAAAAGTGACACCTCTTCGTTTTGCACGTGGCACGTGCATAATGGGTCACCCACATGCATCGGGAATAGTCCAATACTTGTTAGAAGGAATGAAGCTACCCTACAAAAATTACCGCATGTAAAAATCAAATAATGCAATCTCAGCTGAGTGACCCACACTACCATGTAGCAAGCGTGTCTGCATGTTTTTAGCTCGCGAACGACCTTGCATCGCATTCCAAAAGTTGATTTTGAGTCAACTTTCGATTTTCCTCGCTGCGAGGTCTGCGAGTTCTGCGAGGTTTGCGGGTTTTTCGGAGGAGTCGAATTTTGGTTCGTTGCGCTGGTATTGCGACTATATGTAAGTTCCCGAAGGTGTACCGGCTTCACTGCATTCATGAAGTTACCATAAGGGAACGGTCTAATCACTCTATGAATTAGTATTATGCCCGCAAACTCAAAACCCGCAAACTCGCAACCCGCATGCGAGTTCCAGTGTGGGGCGGCCTTTAGACTCCGTTTGCTTCGCTCGCTCCGTAATCAGACAACAAAAAATAAAAACCACTCCAAAACACATTTTTTGCTATATCTCCATAAAGGGTATCACATTTTTTCCAGTTTGTTCATAGAATGATCTTTGATGATCATTATAATGATTAAAATTCAATAGTGTCAAAAGTACCAGATAGCAGTGCCCTATTTAGAGCCCTGTTAGTTCTACATCTCTTATATCCATTACATTTTTCTGTATTTAACCCTCGCCCTGGCAGGGCAGTTTTCATAACACGGCCTGGCGGGGGGTCGATGGGACCCCCTCGCGATTAGCTCCCATGGCACTTAGAAACACCAAATTTGGTGGTTAGGTGGGCCCCCTGGAGTTCTCGGCCCTGTGCAAATTTGCTTGCTCTAGATCAATATTTAGGGTTTTTTGGGGGGTATGAATGTAAAAATTTCGCTAAAAACAGGTCAAACGTTTTTCGCTTAAAACTTTTGATCTAAGATAGAGCAAAAAGAAAAGCACCAGTGAACTCAGCACGTCAGGACGCGTCAAATGATACACTTTTTAGCTTGATTAAGTGTACTTAAAAAGTTAAGCACATCTAAGTACAACTTAAGTCTTAGAATGGTCGAAATACTTATTGCTTAACCCTCGCCGGACCTATTGGTTTTCTACATACGCGCCGGCCGAGGGGGGGGGCGGGTACCACCCCCCCCCCTCGCCGTTTCGCCCCTGGTGGAGCTAGCGCGTCGCGGAAAAAAAAACGAGCGTGTGCGCCGTTACGAGACGCAGAGATTGGTACCCGATTTTAAGGTCCCAGGTCAACCGGTGACCTCTGAGGTCAGGTCAAGTGCCCCAAGGTACGGTTCAGTTTTTGGTGAATAACTTCGCAAAAAACGGCCGCAGAGCCGCGATTTCGGCAGCATCGTGTTCGCCATGCTCAGGCGCGTCGAATGATATACTATTTGTCCGGGTCAGGTCAACTTGGGGTGTTGACCTCAGGTCAAGGTCAGGTCAACACCCCCAGGTCACGAAGTTGGTCGAATGAGGTCATGTCGCATATCATTCGATTCAGCAGGTCTTCCTGAGTCCATTGGTGGCTTTCCCGACTCGCTAGCTCAATTTGATCAAGAGTTATTGACGAAAAACTAACATGACCTTGATGACGTCATAAATGACGTCACGCAAGGTCAACATTGCAAAAGTGACGCATTTAACCTTGCAAGGAGTGCATAAAATCACGATTCTGTGTGCTCGAGATAGTTGGAGATCGTTCCCGGCGCCAGAATAGCAGTTTGTATTTTTCCCCATTGACTTAAAATGGTGAGGTCACGAAAATGACCTGACCTCATATGACCTTTAGGCAAAATCCGAGATATACAAGTTGTGGGACTCATAATGGATACTAGATCCTGCAAGTTTCATTTCCCTGTGACATCTCCTCTGGCAGTGAGGGCGTTGCGAAGTTGCGACATCTGAACACCGTGCAGAGGTTCACTTATGACGACATAGGTCAGTGACCTGACCTAACCCAAAAATGCGGTTGGTGTCAAAAGCTTCGGCTTGAATCAAAGGTCAGGTATGCCAAGTTTCAGCTCTCTATCGCCAGCGTGCTCGGAGCTATCGCGAAAAACCCCTATGGGGGGCGGCACCCGCCCCCCCCCCCCTCGGCCGGCGAGGGTTAATGTTGCATAACTATCATTCGACTCGGCTCTTCAAGAGGAACAGAAGGATACCATTTTGAAAGCTGTATCTTTATTTTGTGACAAGTTATTGGCACAAACGTCATTTGACCTCAGTTGACCTCATTGACCACCTCATTGACCTCATCTGTAATCTCTCCTAAGGCATTGCTTTCGGCACTGCACTGCTTCGCCACGAGCAATTCGATGCTAATTTCCATATTTTATTGGTGCTTTTACACTTGTTGTGCCATAAAGCCACGGGCGACGGGATGTCGGCTCCAACTGTCGCGGCCTGTGCTGCCGATCGGGCCTCAGTCCCTGCCGGCGCCGGATGGGACGCCGACGTCGGCCGCTGCCGATCCGTCTGTGGTCCGCCGATGATCGGACTCGTGCTGGACTCGTGCCATAACTACCTCCGATGTGACTCGCGGCAAGCTGCCGACGTCCATCTCAGTCGCCAGAATGCTGCCATCTGGGCCCTCTTTGCTGTCGGCGAGAGTCGCACTGCGAGTGGCCTAACCTCGACCTCCACTGACCTCGGTCCCTGCCGACACCGGTGGGACGCCACGTCGGCCGCTGCAGATCCGGCTCTGATCCACCGCCGATCAGACTCGTGCCATACCTACCTCCGACTTGATTCTCAGCAAGCCACCAGCATCCGTCTCAGTCGCCCGTCACAGTCACCAGGATGCTGCAATCTGGGCTCTCGTTGCTGACGGCGCGAGTCGCTCTGCGAGTGGCCTAACCTCGACCTCCGCTGACCTCGGACCCTGCCGACGCCGGTGGGATGCCACGTCGGCCGCTGCAGATGATGACCCTGCTCTGAATTGACGCTCCACTGGTCGTGGATGCTGCCGGCCCCGCCTCAAGCGCCGGTGATGCTGCCGCCTGAATGCCGGACTGGGCGCCTGGCCTCGATGTGCGCGAAACAAGCCCAAGCCCCCGCCCCTATGACCCATCCGGGCCAACCCGGGACTGGCCCCTCCTGTGAGGGGCCGGTCGGCCGGCCGGGCGTGCGGAGCGCCGACCTAGACGGGTCGACGCTTCGCTCGCCCGGTCGGTGGTTAGGGGGCACCGTCCGGGGTTGCTTGCCGGGCGGTGCGGGCGGGGGCTGGCGGCCCGCCTGGAGCGCCGGGGAGGTAGCCATCAGATCTCCCCGGCTGGGGAAGCATCCCCCAGCTCTCCCCAGGGCCGTGGACGGCACCGTCCCGGCCTGGCCAGGCGGGCCGCCGATGGTGAGCAGTGGGGACAGTCGTTTGGGCGATCACACTGCCCCGGTGGTGGCGTGAGGGGGATGTGAGATTTCTCCTCAGCTGCATTCACTGTATGCACTGTGTGAATCTAATGGCAATGGCGCTGCTCTTACCTACAACCTACTTAACTACTAACACTGACTGACCACTCTAACAATACTAGCATGTACATATCCTAAATCCAACCCCCTTCCACGAGCAGCGCCATCTATCTATTAGAACTGCCATGTACGCCATCTGTTTTCTGTTCCATGGGCTGCTCTCACTCGCTTTCTTTGTACCTGTTCAAATATACCACCGGTGGGAACCGGAATGAATGAATAAAAAAAATATTAAATATGAAATTAGGAGGTTAAAGGTTACCATGTGATTTGCTTCTTACTTGGGGATTGCACCAAAAGCAAATTGGTGATCAGTTTGCAATCAGTAATCAGTAAGTAATCAATCAGCAATCAGTAAATACATCAATGACATTGGGCGGTTGTAGATACCACCTAACCAAACCTAACCTAACCTAACCTAACATAGATTTGCAGATTAACGTTTCGGCAAATTTACATTTCAACTAATCAACATTTCGGCAAATTTACATTTCGACTAATCGACATTTCGGCAAACTGCCATTTCTGCAGATTGACATTTCGGCAAATTCACAATTCGACTAATTGACATTTCGACTAATTTACATTTTGACTATGTAATCGACATTTCGGCAAATCGCATTTCGGCAAATTTACATTTCGGCTAATAAGCATTTCGGCAAATTGGCATTTCGGCAAAAAGGCATGTCGGCAAATGGCATTTCGACTTTAAGCATTTCGACTTTTTGACTCGTCGGCAAAAAGCACATCGGCAAAATGTCATTCGGCGAAATGCATTCGGCAAAATAACATTCGGCCAATCGCCTTTCGGCAATTTGTCCGGACACCGGAAAGTTTAGTGACAATATCTACAGTCGTTTAGGAGATATCTACAGAAAAGGGCAGGGTCGCCGATGTTTCCTCCCCCCCCCCATACCGGGTGCAGGGTAATTCAGCTGCGACCCCCACCAGGGCGAGGTTTAAAGGCCACGGAGCAGTGGAATGTAAGTACATTCTCACCTGTTCTTTGACTGAGAGCAGCTGCAGCCTCTTGAGGTGCGTGGTATTCTGGTGCGAGTCGACCACCTTGAAGTCGGCGGCCGTTTTCAGTTTGAAGTCGCCCAGGCTGTCGACGGCCGCCTGGATGGCCTCCAGATCGGCCGGGTCGTCCGTCTGCCCGTCCGGCCGGCACGCCAGCATCTTGGTCCACTGCGGCACACGGCACACGGCACACGGACCAATATCAAGGGCACACGGCACACGGACCGATATCAAGGGCACACGGCACACGGCATACATCAAACGCAACAATATAAAAAGGCAGCTGCAATTACTCAAAAGGGATAGGTTGGCCTAGATATATTAACCCTCGCATGTGTGCGGCGTTTGCCAGCTTCTAATGTGTAGGGGGGGGGGTCGGTTGGACCCCCCCCTTGCCGTTTGGCCCCTGATCGAGCTAGAGCTTCGCGAAAAAAACGAGCGTGTTGCCCGTGACGAGAGGAAGCCGATGATACCCAATTTTAAGGTCCTAGGTCATTGATTGACCTTCCAGGTCAGGTCAATGACCCAAAGTCGGGAACATCGGGACCTGTTAGAAAGTCGTAAAGTGTAGCTGCTAAGGGGTTTTTCGGGGTGCTGATCACGAATATCGTGTTAGTTTTGATCACAGATGATGTCTTGAAGCATTTAGACCAGGTCGGGTCAGGTCAGGTCAGGTCAACCAGTAGGCGTCGTGACGGGTATTCGTAGTACGTGTCAACCGCCTCTGACAGCTTCGTAACATGTTACGAAGTCACCAAAACTACTTCGTAAATGTTCAAATGGTTGCTAAATTCGAATTCAGCTCCAAAAACTAGCCTAGAAACATGTACAACTCGAAAAAGTGACCCGAGGTCACCCGAGGTCACCAAAGGTCAATGACCTGACCTGACCTTCAGGTGACCTTGACACACACGGCAGTAACATCAAATCACATGTTGGAACGTTTGAAACCACGAAAAGCTTGCAAACACGCGGCAAGTGCGAGCCGACATACGCGAAATCGCGATTCCGGCCAAACATGGTCTCGGAAAAGAGGTCACAGGTCAAAGATCATTTGGGTCAGGGTCATGAAATTTTCAGGGTAGGTGTAAAATTGATCAATGCGAGGGTACTGAAAGTTTCGTTGCGATCGGCCGCTTTTTACGCGAGTTATTCGCGAAAAACCATGGGGGGGGGGGTCCATCCGACCCCCCCCCCCCCCCTACACATGCGAGGGTTAAAGCGCGACTAGGTAGAACAAATCTTTGAAACGTCGAGCCGATAGGCGAGACGTCTAGACGTCTAGACGTTTAACAAATCAGTTACAGGACCTCTGATAATTTCCTCCCTTTGCAAGCGAAGCAATTGTAAACACTGTCTACAGTGCGGGATAACGCATGTTAACCCTCGTCCGTATAGGGGGGGGGGTCAAACGGACCCCCCCCCCCATGGTTTTTCGCGAATAACTCGCGTAAAAAGCGGCCGATCGCGACGAAACTTTCAGTACCTTCGCGTTCTTCAATTTCACACCTACCCTGAAAATTTCAAGACCCTGACCCAAATGACCTTTGACCTGTGACCTACTTTTCGAGACCATGTTTGGCTGAAATCGCGATTCGGTGTATGTCGGCTCGCATTAGCCGCGCGTTTGCAGTCTTTTCGTGGTTTTAAGCGTTAAAACATGGTATATGATGTTGCTCCCATGCATTAGGGTGGGTGTCAAGGTCACCGGAAGGTCAGGTCAGGTCATTGACCTTTCATGACCTCGGTTCACTTTTTCGAGTTTTACATGTTTCTAGGCCAGTTTTCAGAGCTGAATTCGAATTTAGCAACCATTTGAACATTTACGAAGTAGTTTTGGTGCCTTCGTAACATGTTACGAAGCTGTCAGAGGCGGTTGCCACCTACTACGAATACCCGGCAAAACCCTTACTGGTTGACCTGACCTGACCTGACTCGACCTGGCCTAAATACATGAAGACATCATCTGTGATCAAAACTAACATAATATTCGTGATCAGCACCCCGAAAAACCTCATAGCAGCCACACTTTACGACGTTCTAACAGGTCCCGATTTTCCCGCCTTTGGGGTCATTGACCTGACCTGCAAGGTCAACCAATGACCTAGGACCTTAAAATTGGGTATCATCGGCTTCCTCTCGTCACGGGCAACACGCTCGTTTTTTCCGCGAAGCTCTAGCTCAATCAGGGGCGAAACGGCAAGGGGGGTCCAACGGACCCTCCCCCCCCCCCCCTTATACGTTCGCGGCTGGAAAAACACCAATACGGGCGAGGGTTAACACCACCTGCGGTTTTTCGCTAATACCTAAAAAACGGTGACCTTTCGCGCCACCGTTTTTGGGACACCTAACCTTATCATGCTTCTTTTATACACATGTGATACAATTTCAGACCAAGGCATCTTAACCCTAGCCGGCCGAAGGGGGAGGCGGATGCCCTACCCCCCCCCCCCCCCCCCCCCGCCGTTATGCGCTAGGCGCGGCCATAGCGCGGGACGCGACTCCAGCGACGCCTATCGGCAATGCCAGAAAACTAAGGTCAGCGAGAGCACGGATCTTGGTGGGTGATAGTGCAGCATGAAAAAATAGGCAAGCTACATGAAAATGCCGCTATACTATGGTGTAGTTCACCATCTAAGCAACATATTTATGTATTTTTATCCATAGCGGATAAAAATTGGATCCAGGATCTGGCCATGGAAGAAAAATGTTGGTCAGCGTAAGCACGGAATTTCGTGGAAATGAGCACAGTATGAAAAAATCGTTGAGAAAATGCAGAAATGTGTCGTAAATTTTAAGTTACATCGTTTTCTAAAAAATGCGGCCAAATATCCCCAACCTCCCCTACCTGGAAGCAGGCCACACCGACCCCCGCCGAAGTTAGTTGGTAGCACTGTTGCTCAACGGCGTACATTTCCTACCAGCCCATAGGGTTTACATGTTAACCCTATTCCTGGCGGGCTCCGCCGGGACAAGAAACTGGCGGGGGGGGGGGGGCGATTCGCCACCCCCCCCCCTGAGATCTCGGAAACTAATGGACGGATTTTGATCCGGTAATCGGCATTGGATTGCTCTCAACGTGAACTACATTTTAGACATTTTTTAATATCAAAAACGAAAAAACAAACCCCTGAAACCCCCAAAAAGCCAAAATTTTCCAATTTGGCAGAGTTTTCAAAAATGAGGTCTAGCTCAGTATTAGAGATGTCAATCGGATACCAACTTTTTGGTATACCGATACCAAACCGATACCAACTTGGTGTTTGGTATTTCAAGGCGAACGCATTTGGTATTTTGTTGGTTTTATGAATCCTCTCTAATGTTAGAGAGGCTGAGAATTTGGTAAAAGTTGGTATTTCCATCATATTCCCAAGTCGGTTCGGTTTCGGTATTTTTCCATGAGGTTTGTTGGTATTTGGTTTGGTATCGGTATCACGATTTTCCGCAATTGACATCACTACTCAGTATATAGGAAAGTCAGAGCAAAACGGACAAAAGCAGCTGATAGCTGAGGAAATTTCTTTTCGAATAGCTGCCAACAGATTTCAGCTATTTTTGATATTTGAGGCGCTAGGAGTCAAAAATCTAAAAGCGTATTTTTTAGTAACATCACTTTTGCGTCAATAACTTCTGAACCGTTAGTGATAGCCTGAAACGGTAAACGCCGTTGCAGTTCTCTAATAATTGCGAAACAAATGGTTTGTATGTTAACCTACTAAGGTCACTCTCAATTTTGACCTCAGGTCACGGTTGACCTGACCTGAGCAAGTATAGGCGAGTAAATTCGATACGTCATGACTAGGGAAACATGTTGTTATATAAAGAAGTGTTTTATCATATTTGTTTTACTTTTTATCAGTCAGATGCTTCCGAAACCCCGGAATATATATATATATATATATATATATATATATATATATATATATATATATATATATATATATATATATATATATATATATATATATATATATATATATATATATATATATATATATATATATATATATATATATATATATATATATACAATACGGGCTACATATATATATATATATATATATATATATATATATATATACAATACTAGGGAATATTGTATATATATATATATATATACATATATATATATACATATATATATATATACAATACGGGCTATATATATATATATATATATATATATATATATATATATATATATATATATATATATATATATATATATATATATATATATATATATATATATATATATATATATATATATATATATATATATATATATATATCGCATTTCGAATATGTAATTGGTGAACGACAAAATAGTCATACCAAAGTATTGTACTCACTTAGGCGATTCGGTTGATATGCAACATGACATACTTTGCTAGAGAAATTGGCATGACCTCAGGTCAAGGTCAGGTTAGGTCAAGAAAGGGATAATAGGTGACTTTCTTGATTTCAATGCTTCACTAAGCAGTATAGCACTTACAACTAAGGTAAACAACACTTTGAACATACTTTTCTGTACAAGGTATATGCAAAAATAGTATTTGACCTCAGTGACCTCGTGTGACCTGGTATGACATGACATCTCCAATAATGTACTCTTCATTATATGAAGACGATATGAATGTTTCATGTATATAAGTTCTGATTTTTACCCCAAACATATTAGTTTGAATCGTTTCCCCATTGACCGTAATGATAAGCATTGGTGACCTCAGGTCATGAACTGTCAAGGATATAAAAAAACGAAACATATGTTGCACATATAGGTAAGCTTATTTGAACCTGGAAGTTTGAACATATTTGCTCGAAAACTCTTGCTGTGGTGAGGGGACAAACTTTTTTCATGACCTAAATTTAGGTTGACCCGGTGACCTGACCTGAGGTCAGATCAACTCAAAATTTTCAGAAATGTTGCGTAAAAGCCTTTTAGGAAAAGTCAGAAAATTTGAGCTTCAAATTAGGAAGCGTTTCAATGTCAAAATCAAAACGCAAAATCAAAATCAAAGCGTTTGGGAGAAATAACCAAAAAACCTCAGGGGGGCTCCTGAGGTCCCCCCCCCCCCCCCGGCCAAGAATAGGGTTAAAGGAAAAGGGCCACCTTTAACATGGGGATTGAAACTGAGATAGCCATCTTGTAGCCCGTGTCCGAAAAC